TCAAATATGTAAATCTGCCCATTAGACAGAACACTAGGTGGAATTTACACCTCAGGCTTCCAAAAATGATCAATCCAACAGACACACAAATCAATGTCTTAGATAATTAAACATCAAGCAGAGTGATTAAATGACTGCTTTTATTACGAACTGTTACACTTACAACTCTAATGTATATGTATACACTCGAAGTCATGGTGAACTGAAACTATTGGAGATTAAGAAGATAAATCCAGAATGACAAAGTAGAGGAGGTGTGATGGGAGCTACATAGTACACAGAATAAATTCTGATAATGTATCACAAAAACTTGTAGATACTGGTCCAAGCAGTGTCAAGAAGGAAAAGGAGTGAAGGGGGTTAAGATAGAACTTTAAAGTATAAGGCCTTGAATCCATTTCACTCTAGCAACCATTCTCTGAGAACAGACTCTAAGGTAGATACAGCTGTACTTCTTATATAAAGGCAAGATTCAGAGACAGGTGAGGCAAAAGAACTCTCCCTGAAGCGCTAAATATATTATTAGTGTTATGATGCCACAGACACCACACATAAAATAAATAAATCTGACAAAATATTCTTATATTCCAAGAATTCAGCAGAAAGAGGAACATAGCCCAAGATGATCAAGATAGGTCTCAACAAGAAAAATACGTCTTAGTGAGAAAAACAATTGTGAAATGGCTCCAGAGTGTCATGGAATTTGTTACTACCATGGCAGTCAAGGAGACATTTCTTGCAAAGTGATTGTCATTAAAAAAAGAAAACAATACTTTATTTCCTTCTCTAGGCACATGGAGAACCCTCATATTTGTCTGTGTAAATTGGTGTTTATTCTGCCCACAGCTGAAGAGGATGCTGCTCCAATTTAAACCAACCAGAAACTTTGAAAATTTGGTACTTTTAATTATAAAGCACAGATACTGGGAGCTGTGCCCCCAGTTAGCAGTTTGTCTATATGGAAAATGAAAAATAAATTAGTTCTCAAAATTTGGTGACCCAAAAGCAACAGTAAATTCAGAAAAAAAAATCTGCCTTCATCATAAAGTCATTACACTGGCCTTTTTCTTACCAAGAGAAAATAAATGAATGAATGAAATCTTAAAACTATGAACTTCATGGCTGTAGAATCCCAGATGTCCTATTCTGTTCCTAATAGTAACATAGGCTAAGAAAACAGGAATTTTTTGTTCAAACATTTTTGTATGAAATGATCAAACAATTATAATGATAATCCAAGATAAAATTAAATAATATTGACGATTATCCTTGAAACAAAATTTGGACACACTTTTAATATACTTTGTATGTGATACTTTTTTACAGGTACCTTAATTTGGACATGTCAGGACCCCAAAGCTATACTGCCTTGCTAATAATACCTGTTACATTTTAGAACAGCATAGAACTCTCCAGTAGCCATCTCTATTACTTGCTAGAGGTTATAATATTGTGTTCTTTCTGACAGCACAGAATATCACTTTATGTATTTAAAGATAAGTATCTAGACTGGGAAATCTGCCAGCAACGTTTCATTATCAGCCAAAGAAAAATTATCTACAAAGTCTAAACTTTAAATAGACCTAACTAAGCAAAGATTCTAATTGTCTTTTTTGTCCCCAGAGAAATAAAGAGGGCTTTGAACCTGATTCAGCTGAGATGCAACATAAGGTGGCAAAGGGAAATGATTTACTTCAATGCACAGTGTAGATAATGGTGAGATTCTGTTTATGTTCCTCAGAGGCTGGAAGCTTTTCTACACTCAGGCCCTAGAAATGAAAAATGTCCTTGAAAAATGGCGTACAGGTCCTGGATCTAAAACATTTGGTGTTGTACTCTCCATTCCTTATCAGCATAGTTTTACCCAGTGATCATAGAGTCATCTTCCCAGTCTTTTGAGTTTCACAAGACTGCCTCCTACTTTGTAAGGCTCATTATGGAATGGAGATAAAAATTCCAACCAGTAAAAATCTACCCCTCTTCAGTTAGTCTAGAATAAATTATTTGGAGCTGAGCAATGGTAATGATTTGCTTTTGTGTTAAAGAAGCAGAAAAGAAAAACAACTACTGTTTCATGAAGTATATCTAGGAATCTGATTGCATTGCTACAAAGCAGAAGATAAAAGGGTTTTTGAAAGAGTCTTCAGTTCCTTGTAAAGGCCATGATTCTGGGATTTGCCCTGAATCTGTTTGTCCCTATTTGTTAAAGCAATGAGGCTTCCATCTGTTTTATCTTGACTTAAAGATGCAGTTTTTAAAGTAAAATCATAAGGCAATGTTTACTGAAAACAAAGTATCTCTACATCTCATCCAACTAAAATGTAGATTAAAATAACAAGCCTAGAAAGATGGGATTTTATACAATCCAATGTCACTTCATTTGCAAAATATTTATTTGAAATATACCTAACACCTTCAAACTAATTATGTGGCCCAAAAAGTATTCACGGGGCTGCATCAAATTTTAGATAATAGTACCTAGAAAGACATGTGAAAAGCAAATTAACTTGCATGGGCATGTTTGCAGATAGATATGCTCTCTGAAATGATAGGGTAAACAAACACACTTTGCTATGGCAAGTCACATTTTCTTCAAGAGTAAGTATGGCATTTGGTAGAATTCAATTTTGGAAGAATATGAAAAAAATAAATCTACAGCAGCTGTCAAAACCTGTCAGTTATATAAAATTATACCTTTAAAATTATTCTTTTCCAGAATAGCTATACTATCCTTAAAAACTTAAGCAGAGTTTTGTATATTTCTAATTTTCCATGAATGCTGAATTGTCTGTCTCCAAAGTGATATTTTAATATTGGTTTGGCTTTGTTTATAATTTGTTTATAATTGAATAAAAAGCAACTTATAGGTTTAGTCAAACACAAGATAAACTGTCCCATGTGTACATATATAGTGTATTTGTTTTGTGAGAGGAAGTTAGTCATTATTAAAATTTATGAAATATATAGTAAAATATTTTATTTCAGAAACAAAAGAAAAATCTGTAAACAATGCAAAAACAGTCACTCACCGGTGATGGCAATCATGTCATATTCTCCCAGAGATTTTGGGTCCACAGAATCATGCCAGCATCTGAAAAATGCTGCAGATATTTCCTCTATGTGTGCATGAGCAAACATACCCCTCTACATGCAATGATCATTTTCACAGACTTGTGGTACCCTGTTTGGGAATTGTAGTAAGAAATATTTTCTTCCTTTGTAAACGAGTGCATCTTAAAAGCAATGTCTTGTATCACAGAAATTCTCTCTAAAAAGGATTATCTAATCCAGTTTCCTTAAAGCCCAAATAGGTAAGGTGATTTCTCCAAAGATGCATAGCTAATAATAACTGGGGTTGATGCAAGAATGTCAATATATTAGCTATTTGTGTAATGGTATTTCAATTAATATAGGCTTTCAATTTAGAAGAATATGTATCGAGGCCTGCATAAGTGACTAATGAAGAAAAAATAAAAGAGACTTCAAATTGCAAATATCTCCACTGCTCTAAGAGCCATCCTGCCGAGTAACAGCTTTTTCCCCAGTGATCACATAAATGCCAATATAAATAAAGGACCTGCTTCTGGCTTTACTAGTCAAATTCTATAGAGCTGTATCAGAGCCCAGGCCTCCCATTAGCTTCAAAGAGATTTTAGTTCTTGGCTCAACTCTGTGGGGATGCTAAGCAAGACATGATGCAGACCAGTGCTTCTGAGATAAAAACTAGAAGCAAATTACTACATATGACAGTTGAACATTAAGGAAAATGTTTTTCATCCTTGCACAGTACTACATTTCTCTGATGATCTCCTTTAATTGTTGTTATCACATTATACTACAACAATGAAACCTGGGTTATATCTTCTCAGGGAAATGTGCATAATAATATAAACAGCTATTGTGTTTCCAAAGTTATTTGGACAATTGTCCCATGGGTTTACCTAGTGATTCAGATTGCTAAAGCTGCACTGCATGACCTAACTCTTAGATGCTTTGCAGGAAAAGGTTTCCATTTCTTTTAAAGAAAGGTAAATACTAGTATTTTTCAAAAAGCATATGAGTCATTTTTTATTATTAAGATGATATGCTTATTGCAGGCTAACTTCATAAAGACAAAAAATGATTAGTTAACTCACACTTTTGGAAAATTCAAAAGGGAACTGTGAATTTCTGGTGAGTTCCCAACTTCCCAAACTGCATTACCTCTGACTAATAACAACGGAGGGATAGTAGGGAAAAGAAAGAGATCACATACCATATAACAGGAAAACAGACAGCATTTGGAGGTCAGGTTCACTCTTAGAACAATCTGCTGTCTCTAGATTTCAAAGATCCTGTGAGAACTACTTTCCTTCTCTCTGAGGCCCTGATCCCAGATGACATAAGGACCTCCTAGTAGTAACCACGTATCAAACATGAAATTTTAAGTGATGCATTCAAACTACATCCAAATAAAAGGAGAATGTTATTGCTCCTCAATTAGAAAACTTCCTGGCCAATGAACTACCTAGACATTACACAAGACATCAATTTCAAAAGTAGGTGCTTTTTAACAAAAGAAGGTAGATCAAACACAGGATTAATAATGAACACATTCTCAGTCTCATTCTTCCATTTAATCAAATTATACAATAAATACAGAAAATATGTATTTATTGAACCAAATATTCTGCAATAATGAAAATCTAGATATGGTAATTCTGTTAATAATCAGATTTTCTCTTGGTAAGCCTAAGTGGGGCTGGTAAACCTCCACTTCAATAAAACAAGCAATACTCTAGGGATTGCTGATCACAAATGGTCAAATAGAGCTTGGGATGTTTGTGGCCTAAGATAATGAGGGATGAAACTTTATTCAGATAAATATTAATGTTTTATCAAGTAATTACTATGTGCTAGACATGCATTATGCCTAACTCTCACAAGACCTTCCTGAGGAAAGTATCATTGTTCCCATTTTACAGTTAATAAAAAATAAGGAAAATGAGGTAACTAATGCAGTGCTGACTTTGGCAGCACATATATTAAAATTTAAACGATACAGAGAGGATTAGTATGGCCTCTGAAGAAGTATGACACCAAATTCATGAAGTGTTCCATATTTTAAAAAAAACAACCTGTGACTCCTTCAAAAAAAAAAAAGATAACTAATGCAAATAAAGTTAATTCAAAAAAAAAAAGATAACTAATGCAAATAAAGTTAAAAGATAAAATGGGTATAAACTTAAGAGTTACCTGGCTCAAAAACCTTGTCTCATCCAGGCACTGTTGGCTCATGCCTGTAATCCTAGGACTCAGGAGGCTGAGATCTGAGGATTACAGTTCAAATTCAGTCAGGGCAGGAAAGGCATGGGACTCTAATCTCCAACTAACCACCAGAAAACCAGAAATGGTGTTGTAGCAAAAAGTGGTAGAGTGCTAGCCTTGAACAAAAGAGCTCAAGAACAGTATCCAGGCCCTGAGTTCAAAGCCCACAACCAACCAAAAATAAAAATATAAACCTTGTCTTACAAAGTGCAATCAGGAAAAATAATGCAGAAACAATCTCAAACATAACTAAAGCAAAAATGGGCTGGAGTTGTTGGTAAACAAGGATATCAGGGACCTGGAAAAACGTGCTTTATGAAAAAAGTCCAAACAAGAATTTCCTATTTCAGAAACTATATATCTGAAATTAATTTACTTTGAAGAATAAGACATTTGTAGTTTAAATTTCAAAACATTTATTAGAAAACGTTTTTGTTGCCAGGCACCTGTGGCTCACACTGGTAAACCTCAATACACAAGAGGTTGAGATGAGAATTGTGCTTCAAAGCCAGCCTAGGAAAACTCTGTAACAGACTCTTACCCACAATTAACCAGCAAAAAGATAAGGTAGAGGTTTGGCTCAAGTGGTAGAGAGCTAGCCTTAAGCAAAAAAAGCTCAGAGACATGCCCAGTGTTAAATTTTAGTAGTTGTAGTTTTTCTAACATCCCTCTTCACCCACCTCTGCCTCCCTCTTTCTCATGAGAATTCTAATTTCTTCACTTTTCTTCCTTCCTCCCTGAAGATATGTGTTTCTGAGGTAGACTACACTCTTTGTGCTCTGATATTTCTAAGCGATCTATGATTATTCCCTATCCCTTGGCAATGAATATTTTAGTCACAATTCCACTCAACTATGAAAGTCTAGTATGTGACTCCTGTTAATGTTCCATAGTTTTAAAAAATATCCAAAATAGAGATTAGTCCTTTTCTTCTGATGACTTTACTCAGTATAGATGGTTCCTGATTCTGTTACATTCACCTTATAATAACAATGCAACTGGATGAAGAAAAAGTCTTGCATTCCAGTCTTAAGAAGACATGCTAAAAATATAATTCTTTGAGACTGTTCCTTTTCAAAGAACATTCTGCTTATAAATTACAATGCCGATTGTTAATGTGGAATTATTTCTTAATATTCTAGAACTTCCTTAAAATGACTGTGGAAATACTATTTGAACATGGAAGTATGTGTAATATAGGTCAATTCAAACCATTGTACAACCACATACTTAAGGCACATAGAAAGTCTAACTAAAGCCCCTGGTTGAAATATATCTTGTTTTCTACAAACAGAAAACATTCTATTCATATGACTTTTTTGAGTATTTTTTCCATGAGCTAAGTGAACTGCCTGATTTCATTGATCCACACATTTGAACCACTGTACATATTACCCAAAATATTCGTAAGGCAGCTGCACAAGAAGAAGAGAAAAATCAAGAGCAGTATTATCCAAGAGACAAATAGTAAGAACTACATACAAGTCATGGATGTAATTAAAAATTCTCCAGTACTCATACTAAGAAAGTTAAAAGAAAATCAATATTGTATGTTATTTAATCCACATGTGAACAGTATAATTATTTGAGAAAATTCTGTATTTCTATTTTCATAGTGTCTTCAATATCCAATTGGTTGTTTTCTATTTTTAGAACATCTCAATATTGAAAGCAGACTGTCAAATGTTCAATAACATACTTTGTAGTAAATGCCAAACTGTATAGTCTAACTCTATAATCACAAAACAGTATAATAACCAAATCACAGAGAACTGGTGATACCAGAATAATATCTAAATTGGTTTTAAACTATATAGCTATAAGAACAATAAATTTTACTGCAAATTTTAGAATGAATCTAGGTAGTTTTATTGATCTGTTTGAAGCATTCAATGAAGCTCTCAATATATTATAATAGAAGCTTTTCAGTGATATACCCCTCTTTCTTCTGACTTATAATTTATGGAAAACACAATGACAGGCAGAATTCATTTTCTTAAGGACAACTGAATAAGACTGGAAATGTGCTTAAGTTGTAAATTCAAAAGATAGATCCAGCCAGGTGCTGGTGGCTCACGCCTGTAACCCTTGCTACTGAGGAGGCTGAGATCTTAGGATCATGGTTCAAAGACAGCCGGGGCAGGAAAGTCCGTGAAACTCTGATCTCCAATAAACCACCAGAAAACCAGAAGTGGCACTGTGGGTTAAGTAGTTGAGCTGAAGAGCTCAAGGACAGCACCCAGGCCCAGAGTTCAAGCCCCACAACTGACCACCCCCCCCCCCAAAAAAGATAGATGCAGTTGAAGGGTTTCCACCTAACACACAACAGAGTCCTATTAATGGATCAAAAAATGTTTATTACTTGTGCATGATGACTTCTGAGAGCTACAAGATAGTTGTTTAAAGGCATGTTAATAAAATGTTTTACTTTGGGAAAACTTTGCAAATAATCCTGCCCTTTTTTTTTTTTTTAACCAACCTTGCCTTTCTGTGGCTAGTCCCCTATCAATCCAGTGTTTAGGGCTTAAAGCCTCAGACTTTATTGCAGGAACAAAATCCAAAGCTCAAGATTAATTTTGCAATGTGACTATTCATAATGACACTTCTTTACCTAAACAGAATACACAACAATAACCAATATGATCCACTACAACACAGAGCAGGCAACAAACCATCCCTTTATGTTGCAAATTCATTGTCTTTAAATGGAATACTTAGTAAAAGTTTTGAGAAGATATCAAAAATAAAAATAGACCAATTGTCTGGTATCTGGCACACTCAAAATGCATTTCTATTTACATATTTTGAATTTTCTAAATATATTCCTTAATTTAAAGGAAGAAAGGATAGGTGATTTAAAAAGAAAAAAGGAGAAAAAGGTAATAAAGGTAAGGAAGCCAAAAGAGAAGCAAAGGAGGAAAGGAATGAAAAAGAATAAAAGGAGAGGATGTGGAGGAAGGGAAAGAGAAAAGAAGAAAGGAAATATTGTCAGACATTTTTGCACTTATACTCTATGTATGATTGAACGTGAAAAAACAGCATACATAAGAGATAGATTTTATCGTTTAAATAGGGATACAGGTGGACCCATTGAAACAATGAGATGTACAAGTCGTTATGTCGAAAACGAACTTTACAACTTTGGTGGGGGGGCGGGGAGGATTAGTGGGGGGGCAGAGGGAGGATGGGCAGGGATGGGAAAGGGAAACAAAGGAGGAGGCTAAAATGCTTGATAAGAAATAAATGTACTCATTATTTTGTCCATGTAATTGTAAACCCCTCTTTACAGTATCTTCACAATATAAAAAAAGAGTATAGATTTTAATATTGTATCACTTAATTTTGAATCTTTTATCATTTACTGTCTCCTACATTAAACCACTTACCAGATTCTTGGTACCACAGTTTCTGTCTCTGTGATAGAGGAGTAACAGTACCCCCATCATAGTACTGTGGTATTTGAAACAATACATTATGTGCAAACCATCCATAAGGCTGCTCAGCATAAAACCAATGTTCAGTCATTACCAAACACTATTATGACTCAAAGTGATTGGCTTCCAAACAATTTCTGCAGTATTCTATGACTCTGGACACTAAGTAGAAACCTGTGCATTGATATTATTGGCTATTACTAACATTCTGTTTCCACTTGTAGAGGGATACAGCTAGAAGCATCTGTGGCAGAAAATGAGACATCTGGATGGAAAAAAATAATACAAACCAGTGAACACATGCAAAGTAATTGGAAGTAAAGAGCTACTTTAACTCCCTTTGCCTACCAGCTATGAAAAGTTTCTTCTTCTTTGGTTGAATTAAGGTCAGAGGGCACAAAAGCTGAAATCTATTCCATAGGGTAATTTCAGTGCATTAAGTGCAGGGCAGAACATCCCAAGGAATCTCCTTAGAGGGTATTTCCCAACTAAGGACATAATTATAATCGGATCAGTATCTAAAACAGTCATACAGTGTGCCATTGCTGTGCATAAACATGCTATATCTTAATTCAAAAATAAAAGGACACCAGGGAGAAAACAATCACATATAAAGGTAAGCCAATCAGATTTCTCAGCAGAGACCTTAAAAGCAAGGAGGGCATGAAAAGAGGTATGCCATACCCTAAAGACAAATAACTACCAACCAAGAATAATCTACCCAGCTAAGCTCTCATTCATAGAAGAAGGACAAATAAAAACTTCCCACAGCAAGGAAAAACTGAAACAGTAAATCACTACTTCCTCAAAGATGTGCTACACATAGAAACCAACAAGAACAGAATGAAATGGCAATGAAACAGTCCACAGAGAACTATGTAATCACAGCAAGAAAAACCAAGGCACAGCTCCCCCTCCCCCACCACACACACACACACACACACACACACACAAAAGGATAAAAAGGCAGGGAAAGATACTAACACCTCTCAGTCCTGACTCTCAATACTAATGGACTTAACTCTCCAACTAAGTGGCATAGATTGTCTAGTTGGATAAAAAAACCAGGTCCTTCTATCTTCTGTCTTCAAGAGACACACCTTGCCAACAAAAACAAACATGTTCTGAAAATGAAAGGCTAGCCCAAAATCTACCAAGCAAACGGCCCCATAAACAGACGGGAGCTGCAATCCTAAAATCAGATAAAATAGACTTCAAATTAAAATAAATGAGAAAAGATAAAGAAGGTCACTACATACTAATTAAGGGATCTCTACTTCAGGAGGACATTACAATTCAAAATAACTATTCACCAAATAATGGAGCACTGAAATTTATCCAAGAAACACTACTTTCCCTCAAATC